TTTTTTAGGTACCAGGGATCAAACTCAGGACTTTATGCTCATGAGACAGGCGTGGCACCAGTGAGCTAAATCCCTGGCCCATTTTTGGTTTTTTGAGACGGTCTTGGTATATACTTCAGGCTGCTCTTGAACTCACTATGTTGCCCAGGCTGGCCTTGAATTCACGATGATTCTCCTGCCTCAGCCTCCTCCATACAGGTGAGTACCACCATACCTGGCTTGTGCTAATCTTTTAGTTCTTTATTTGAGGTGGGGGAGGGGAGGCGAATGGCCTGCCAGCAGAGACCTCTCTCAGGTTTGATCCCTGCCCTTTGTGGTTGGAGCCATGAGCTATGTGTCCTCCTCACTGCACTGTTCAGCCCACGTGTCTCCATATAATCCACAAGAATATCAGGGAAAAAACTGTAAGAAATCTTGCCAAAATCAAGGTGGCGGCCCCAGCACTGGCTCCTTCTGACCTCTGCTTACTGACCTTGCCTGCAGCAGCACTGAGCTTCAGCCGCCTGCCCCACCAGTATCTGTGGAGGGCCCAGGCCCAGCACCCAGTGGCTCCTTTGGCACAGGGAGGTGAGGCTGCCCAAGTGAGCACCTTGGCAACACAGGGCTTGTCTGATGGCCATCCTCATCCTAGAGGGCAGGAGGCAGGGGCTGATGCAGCCTTGCTGGGTAGCTAATTATATTGTCCTCATGGCCGCTCATGCTTCAAAAGTATGTTTTATGCCAGCTGGGCAGCAAGTTACTCCACGGCAGGGAACCCCCACTACCTAGCATGGTGCTCCGGGTACTCCATGGGGCTGATGACAACCTGAAGGTCCACCTGCTGGCCTAAGGTGGACGGGCCCTCCAGTCTGCACCCTGGCACTGCAGCCTGGCTCACTACAAACCCAGGAGGGCCACTCAAAGGGAAAAGTCTCATTTGAGCTGACTTCCTGTGGACAGAGTGGTTCCCAAGCCAACAACATGTCTGCTGTTCCCTCTGCCACTCTTGGATGGAGGCAAGTCTTTCTCAGCCAGCTTGGTGTTTATAAAGTGCTTAGGGGGCAGCATGGAAAAGGAGTACAGAAAAGAAAAGAGAAAAGCAACACTTCCTCTATGCCCACAGCCTGGGCTTCCTGCCTGTTCTCTCTGAGGTTCTCTCCCATGTACAGCCAAGAAGTTCAAAGACAGACGAAAGGTAAAATGTGCATCACAGCTGGGCACAGTGGTGTATTCCTTGATCTTAATACTTGGGACACTGAGGCAGGATTGCTGCAAGTTCGAGGCCAACGTGGGCTGTATAATGAGTTGAAGGCCAGCCTGAACTTCAGAGACCCTGTCTCAAAAAAAAGAAAAAAGAAAAAACCCAAAACAAAAAAACACAACAATAAAGTAGCACATTCCAATACAACGTAAATAGAACCAGACAGAACTTCTCAATGGTGAGAGATGTCAGACTCCCGTGCCTGTAGGCAGAGGAAACATGGGGGTGAAGGAAACAGTCTGTTCCTTGATCTGGAGCTGGTTTTCCAGGTACATGCAAATGTTAAAATGGATCAAGCTGTAATATCTGTGCATGTTACTGTACATAAACTTATACTTTATCTGTGATACCATGGAAGAAAGGGAAACCAAGAGAAGAAACGAAATGATATCTGTAGCACTGGGGGAAGAAGAAAATCGAGAGGAGTTATGGAAGAGCGAGAGAATGAAGAGAAACAAGAAAGGATACCAGAGAAAGGGAATAAAGAGAGTGAAAATGCAAATACAGAGCAAATGAACACGTCCACCTGTGGCCTCTCTGCCAGGCTCAGCACAAGGTAACAGGCCAAGGCAAGCTCTATAGTACAGCCTTAGCCCACGCCACCACTGGCCTCGAAAGCTATCAATACCCCTGATCAGCCGGGCGTGGTGGAACACACCACCTGTAATCTCAGCACTCAGGATGGCTGAAGCAGGACAAACATATGTTTCAGCTCAGCCCAGGCAACTGAACAATACCTCGTCTCAAATTTTCAAAAGAGCGGGTGGGCACATAGCTCAATGTGAAGATCCTGGAGTCAATCCCCAGTACCAACCCCCAAACACACACACGCACACTAAGAAAGCATCCCTAGGTAGAGCCTCAGCCATCCTTAAGCACAGGCGGAAGTCCTCTGGCATAGATGGCCCCTGGTGGCAGCCATGAGCCAGGCCTGCCTGCTCCCTTTCCCACCCGGGGCAGCCTGGCTCTTGGCTCCCACAGTTCTGCTCTGGGAATTGTTGCTTTGTTTGCTGCCCATGGGGAGGGGCCTCTTGCCAAGCCCAGCGGAACTTGAACCCAGAGGTCTCACCCGTCCTTCCTGGAGTAGACTCTGCCCCCTCCTCGTTCCCGTTCCCGGGTGCTGGCTGGCAGGCTGCCCAGGCAGGCCTCGCAGACATGAGCTGGCTGCAACCCAGCTCCCTTGGCCTGGCCCCGTGCCACCATCCCCTTGTGGCCCCGAGCCTTCCTCCCATGCCAACCTGCAGCTGCAGCTCCCCACCCTGGCCTGGCTGGGCACACTGCTGCCATCTCTGCCCCGGGGGGCGAGCAGCACCACAGCTGTGGCACTGAGATATTTTGCTGGGGAAGCAATAGCAGCTGGCACACCCTGCGTGCTTTAAAATTAGCCAATGACTGCCAGGTCCTGGGGCCACAGCAGAGGGCACCCAACCAAGGCCAGCAATGACAGGGCCTTCAGGTCTCTGGGGCGGCTTCCAGCCAGGGTCTGGCTATGAACATAAAAACATGGCCTCATCGGGTTGGTTCCTAAACTCTGTGCTCCTCCCTGCTCCTTTGTCTTGCTCCTGTGCGGGGTAGGAGCACTACTTGAACCAGGCCACACAGTCCCTCTGACTCAGTTTCCCCATCTGCAGTGGGGATACTGACAGTACTCTACCAGTGTAACAGTACTAATAACCACTGGTTGGGACAAAGGAGGACACAGGACCCACGCTGTGAGTACCGTGCTGGCTCAGTGTGAATGTGCAATGTCCTAGCTGCAGTCCCTGTCCTGGCCATGTTCAAACTCACCCCTCCACCCCATCTAAAAGCTGTCCCATGGCCTCGACTGCTTTCCCCATCTCCAGTGGCGACTGAGGACCCTGTTCCTGGCTCTGCCCAGGCTGAGCTGCCTCCTGCAAACAGGGTGCTGAGGCCGCAGCTCTCACAGGGAGAAGAACCAGCCTGCCCGGCCCGGGTGTGCCTGCCACCCAGCACCGCCCCCATGGGCTTGTTGGGGCCTGAGCCCCACTCCCTGGGAGGGGACCCCCTGCCCCACAGGGCTGTGGCGCAACAGCAGGGCTCAGCCTGTCCCTGCCCAGGCAGGGCAGGACATGAAGTTGCCACTGTCACTCCCCTGCACCCTAACAAAGTTCAGGGGGCTCTGTCTGGGGGGGGGGTACAGAGAGGAGCTGACAACTACACCCATCACCTTGAAGGGGCACAGTGACCGCTCAGTGATTCTTTCCTGCTGTCGAACTGCTGTAGCTACAATAGGAGGCAGGGATGCTTGGCCAAGTGGAGGGCAGGTGAAGGGCCCAGGGGACTCTCAGGTTCTCAGGATTCCAAGAGGCTAGAAATCTGTCTCCCCATTTGCCACCAAATGTTTCCCATAAATCCCTTTGAGCCCCAGAGCCCTAACCATTGCTGGTTAAAGCCAGGGGTCAACTTTCCTTCCCAGAGGCCCAAGGCGTCCCTTGGCCCCCTCCTTCTCTCTCTCTAACCCCAAAGTTTCTTAGTTACTTGAGATCTCCTGCTGGCTGCACCCATGTTCCAAGACAGAGCCTGTTGGCTGGAACACTGGACTCCAAGCATGGGCAGGGACAGGAGTGCCATGAGGGTGGCAGTATGGACAGATGAGTCGCCACTATGAGGAAAGCCCCTCCCATGGCAGTGTGTCCACCTGCCACTCTAAAGCACACAGAAATCTGCTGCACAAGGTCTCACACACCAGCCATCCAGGCCCACGATGCTCTAGCAGCACACTGTGCACACTGAGGTAAGTCATGGGCTGGAGGACTCCACGTCAGACCTTGGGAGCTCTCAGGCTCTGATAGACTCTGCCTGCTGTGACGGGGAGGTAGGTGACTATGGGGCCCAGATGGCCCAGCTACCTGGGCTCATCTCCAGTTTCCACAAGACCCGGCTTGTTCCATCCAGCACCTCTTTCAAGGGTGCTGCCTTGGGCCTTTTCCTGGTAGCCTGTAGCCAGCGGCCCGGACCAAGGAGCCCCTCAGCCTCAGGGGCTTTATAAGCTATGAGTCACCCCAAGATCAACCTTTCTGGGGAGCAAGAATCAGAGCTTTCATCTGATTTCAAAAAGATCCTTGTCACATACCTTTCTACCAAAACTGAAGAAACATTTTGGAGGTACACCGAGGATTGAACCCAGAGCAGAGTGATCACTGGCTAAATCCTCAGACCTTTTAAATTTCAAGAGTCTCACTAAGTTGCCCCCGGTGGCTTCGATGTGTGATCCTTTCGCCTCAGCTTCCCAAGTAGGTAGGATTACAGACGTGCACCACCACACCTGGCAGAGAATCATTTCAAGTGAACTTTCAAGATTAAATGTGAATCCCAGCACTCGGGAGGCTGGGGCAGGAATCACCGTGATGGATTACAGACGTGCACCACCACACCTGGCAGAGAATCATTTCAAGTGAACTTTCAAGATTAAATGTGAATCCCAGCACTCGGGAGGCTGGGGCAGGAGGATCACTGTGAGTTCGAGACCAGCCTGGGCTACACAGTGAGACTCTGTCTCAAAAGACAAAACAAAACAAAACAAAACAAAAAGATTAAATGTGAAAAGAAATCACACTTAGGCTGGGTACAAATCCAGGAGAATTGTATTCCATCCTTGGCAATTTAGCGGTTTAGCTAGACCCTGTCTCCAAAAAAAAGTCACACTTCATCACTTCACTGTGGAAGTTATATCACCCTGACATGAAAGCTGTGTTGCACCCTTATGGGTGAAGTATTTCTCAGCACTTACTACAAGTGAGGCACTGAGCTGACCTTTTACATTGGGTAATTTATTTAACCTTCATTACAGAGGGAGACAGGAGGGGTTATATTCCCACTACATAGGAGAAACAGGAGCACAGAGAGGTTCAGGATTTGCTAGGGTCACACAACCCCTAAGTGAAGCCTAGGACAAGAACCCAGGTCTGCTGCCTCCAGAACCCATGTGCATGCACTACCCATGGATAGAATTTCAGGCTCCAACTCAAATTACAGCCATCTCCTCATAACATAAGCTGCTGAACTTCCTTTCTCCCTTCTCCTTTTTTCCTCCCCATACCTTCCTTTTTCCTTTTCTCCCTTTCATTCAATCAACAAACATTCCTTGTGCACTTGCTGCCTTCTAAGTGCTGCTGAAGTGGAAGGAGACTGACCCGGCGGCCTCACTCCCGAGCTTACATCCGGATCCCTGTAACCCTTCTTCCCAGAGAACACTCATCCTGGCCCACATTTCTGCAGGCACTTTCATTCACTCATTCCTTTGTCCCAACAAAGGTAATGGCCTCACCAACCTGGCAGAGCTCCAGCAGAGCTCCCAGGCTGCACAGGCTAGAATACTGCTGTTCCAACTCATTTCCGGAGCTGCCCCTCTGGGTTCCCTGGGCGCCTGGCTCTGGTTTCCATTAAGTCTCTCATTATGCAGCAGTAAAACATCATTTACACAGCACATCCCTCTCCTCCTGCTCTTCACCAAGCTCCTTGAGTACAGGGACCAGACCTACCTAACTCAGGGTTTTAAATCTTCAGCCCCAGGGCAGAGCTCCAAACTGGCCCACACCCTAAATGAATAAATGAGTGTTGTGCTCCTGTCTCAAGTCATTTCCAAACCATTCATTCCAGTACTCTTCCAGGATCTTTTTGCCCACCTCTCTTTCATCTTGTTCCAAAGCTAAGGCACCAAAATAGTAGGGGGAGGACAGAGTCATTACTCTGCTTTAGGGCTCTTCTGCCTCTAGTCTCAAAGCTTTGCTTATCTAGAAGATACAGTGCACTCTCGAGTTACGACCAGGTATAACTTGGGTTATGATTAGCATTTGTTTTAACTTACAACTAGTCTTGAGTTACAACCTGAATGCCAACTGCTTGTGCTTCCAGATGGTCTCAGATACAGATTTAACTTTTAAACAGTTTTGGAAGAAACATTGCTATTACTATTACTATTTCCCATGTGGGGTTAAGTGAGAAATCCTGGGCCAGTGTCTCTCTGAGGACACAGTTGAGATCTGCCTGTGTACAGGAGAGACTTTGAAGGCTGTGTAGAGGAGCCTGAGCCTTCAACTGACCAATCTGAGTTACAATCAGCCCTCGAGAACAAACAGTTTGTAAGTCAAGGGTCCACTGTACAGCATTTTGGAGAGTGGCAGAGAGTCCCAGGGCACAGGCATCTACACCACAGAAAGTCAGCTCCCCACTAGGCAAGGGACTGGGTTTCCCATCTCCAGTTCACTGATTGCCATGGTCCCCATCTATTAATATTATTATTATTAATTATTTTGGTAGGGTTTTTTTGGTACCAGGGATCAAACTCAGGACCCTGCACTTGTGAGGCAGGCAGTGGCACCACTGAGCTAAATCCCCAGCCCTATTTTGGTTTTTTGAGACAAAATCTCACTCTGCAGTCAGGCTGAATTTGAACATGATACAGCCCAAACTGGCCTTGAACTCATGGTGATCCTCCTGACTCAGCCTTCCAGATGCTGTGATTAAGGGCTGGGGATTTAGCTCACTGGTGCTGCCCAAGCACAAAGGCCTGAGTTCAATCTCCAGTACCAAAAACAAAACAAAACAAAAAACCAAATGCTGGGATTATAGGTGTGCAGCACCATGCCCTGCTATTTTATTTCATTTTTTTTTTTTTGGTGGTTGGAATGAATCCCTGGTCTCGTGCTCCCTGGTGAGCACGCATTCACCATTGAACTATGCTGTCAGCCCTAGTCTCAGGTTTAGATCAGTTACCAAGAGGTTGACCCCTGGGTACAAGGACACACAGCCCATATTTCTCTGAAGTTCAGAAGAATAATCACCAAAGGAAACAGTCACAGGACCCGGAGTTAGGAATCTGAGTTCAAATGCTGACATTCCTGCTAATGCACTGTTACCTGGGGAAGGAATTTAATCTCTCTGGGCCCACCTGCCCCTGTAACAATGACAGATGATACATATTCATTCCAGTACTGGGGATCCAACCTAGGGGCACTTTATCACTGAGGTACATCCCTAGCCCTTTTATTTTTTGTTGCCTAGGCAGGCCTCACACTTTTGATCCTCCTGCCTCGGCCTCAGGGTTAACCTCAGGGTTAATCCAAAAGCTACTGCTTTTGGAGAAAATGATTCCTAAATCTCTTCTAAATTCCTTAATAGGGTTCAGGGATGTAGCTAAGCAGTGCAGCCTGGCAAGCGAGGGGCCCTGAGTTTGATTCCTG